AAATCCCATTTCCTTACAAGGGCTCCTTACCCCAACAATCTCCTACTTCCCTTCAGTCTTCCTCAAAGCCTGGTCCCAGAACCAAGAACATCAGTATTGCCTGGGGAACTTCTTAGCAATGTGAATTATCAGCACACCTGCAGCCCAAACCTGAATTAGAAAGGGGGAGGTTGGGGGGGGTGGGCAACGACACACATAGGACACAGACACACCACCAGTCTGTGTTTTAACAACACTTCCATGCTGAAGTTATCGATAATCATCAGCCTCTGACACCAGATAAAATACCCCAGATTCAGGTATGCTGTGGAGACCACCTGAGTCCAATGCCAAGACATTTCCTGGGTACTTACCCCTTTTCAAGGTACCAGGCAAAATCTAGAATGAAGGAAACAAAGAGGGAAGCAACAGTGCCAGCCCAATTTCTTTCCTGAAGTCAAGTAGAAAGAGGTTAAACGAAGCTTCTGTGAATGCCAAGTTGTAACATGGTTATCTTTCATCTCATTTTTTCAATTCCATCCACCCTGCACAATCTTACCTGCTATAATCAACTCTGAAATGTGCAAGTTTACAACAGAATAAGGAAACAAATACTGAGTTTACATCAAAATAAAGGTAAAACAAATGTGTACTGCGGGGAGAGGAGCAAACTCCAATTTCTCTTTGATGACCCTTGTTAATGACTTAACAGAAGTTTATTAACAGAAACTAAACAGCAATTTTAATTAGTAAGTTCAATAAAAACAACAACCATGTAGAGGTTCCTTAATAAGTATATGAATGCAAGATAAAAGATCCTGAAACGCTTGAAAAAGCTGCAACACCTCTTGAAGAACACCAGCCTGATGAACAGACACAGGTCCGCAGCAGGTGTGGCATGACATCCTGGGAAAGCCTGGCCTGAGAATTAAGCGAACCAGAGATTTTCATTCTCCACTTCGTATTCAACTCAACTGTGAAACATTCCCAAACTACCAACGCCCCCGGCCTTTACTCTCCTACAATCTGACAATTTCCCAAAACTAGCCAAGGGATCAACTGTGTATTTTTTTTTACAAGTGCCCCAAGTAATGTGATACAAAATTTACAAACCACGATGTTAATATAACCAGCTTTAAAATCCTGAAATAAATAAATAATATTAATAAAATTCTGAGATGTCAGAGAGGTTATCTTAAGTATATAATGCAGGAACGAGGTCATTGAAAATGTGAATGCTCAACCCACAGAATAAAACCTTGTCTTGATCATGAAGAATAAATTAACCAGGGCCATCTGGATGGCTCAATTAGTTAAGCTTCTGCATTCAGATCAGGTCATTTCCCGGGGTCCTGGAATGGAGCTGGCACTGGGCACACTGCTCAGCGGGGAGTCTACTTCTCCCTCTCCCAAATAAATAAATAGATAAGTAAATAAATAAAGACTAAATTAACTGAATTAACTCAGATCTTGATTTCTAATTTATGGGATAACATGCCATGCTTGGGCTATATTTTATTAACATTTTGTGATTATTTCAGGCTTATACTCAAAGACAATTTAAGTACAGGGGTGCCTGAGTGGCTCAGTTGGTTAAGCCTCTTACTCTTAGTTTCAGCTCAGGTCATGACCTCAACAGGAGGTGGAGTCCAGCACCAGGCCCCAACCTGGGCGTGAAGCATGCTGCAGATTCTCTCTCTCCCTCTCCTGCTCAGGCTCTTTCTCTCTCATAAATATTTTTTTTTAAAATAACTTATAATTTGTTAATAATTGGAAGCTTTTTAAATTAAGTAAAAATGTGGAAACTTCTACAGCCAGAAAATTACCACAAAACTGGGGTTAATTCTGGTTCTATAATGCAACATATAAAGTGTCCATAAAGTGTCACATTTAAAGTCTGCAATGCTTCCATTTTAACCCAAGACAAAGAAAGACTTGAAGACTTGAAAAGTCTTTTACCCAGCTGCCTTTACATCCTCAAAAATAGTGAGCAAAACACCTTCCAAGTCATTGAAAACTGCCTCAGAGAAGCAATGCCCAAGTTGATAAGCAGAAAAAAGTATTTACCTTTTTTTAAGTTTGCCTCCGTTTTTCCTTAAAGATTTTATTTATTTATTTATTTGACAGAGATCACAAGTAGGCAGATAGGCAGGCAGAGAGAGAGAGGCAGGCTCCCCACCGAGCAGAGAGCCGGATGCAGGGCTCGATCCCAGGACTCTGGAATCATGACCTGAGCTGAAGGCAGAGGCTTAACCCACTGAGCCACCCAGGCACCCCAAGTTTGCCCTTCTTTTTAATCCTTTTTTGTTCATCCCATGGCTTGTCCAATTAGGAGAAAGTACAAAATGTTCACTATTAAAGGACAAAAACTTTTCCGAAGACTAGATTCTGCCTATCTTCGAGAAACGTACAATTCGGTTAGAGCCCATCACTCACCCCATTTCTTCTGCGTATGTGCCTTTGGCCAGCAAGTCATGACCACCTTCTACACACCTATGATTTCTGCTTCCACTTCTACACGTTGCCCTCTCCACTGCCCTCACCCGGACTCTCCTGGCCTCCTGCCTGTCCCTCCCAATCACCCATCTCACCACCTCCCTCCCTGCCACTTTGATCACACTGGTGGTACAGAAAAACTACTCCATTTAATTTTACAATGTAAAGTGTACTCTATCCTCGTGCCCCTCAGTCTCATAGAGTGTACTCTATCCATCCCTGGGTCTGACAGAGTTTGAGAGTTCATTACTACAGATAAATGCGATAATTTCTAACTGCACAAAAACATTTATAAAACATAAATAAGTAATCTACACAAAAATATTTGCCAGTAACATAAAAGATAAAGTTGGTCTATCTTTTACTATTAGATAGCCTTAAAAAATATTTTCCAAGATGTTCCCAGCCTACTTCTCATAAAAGGAAAAAAGTTATCAGAAGAATGAATAGAATAATCATTCCCTCGTGCTTTTTATTGGTAAGCGGACCTAACCCATATAATCGGCTTCTTCAGAATAGCTATGTTTTTAAAAACCCCTCTTACCTGCATTCATTATCCTAATTTGAAAAACTGGGAGTAAACATAGTTAAGTATAATAACAAACAAAAAGGGAAAAGAACCTCTCTGTGAAGTAACTCAGAATTTTTTCATCACTTTAACATGAATTTTTAGCAGTTTATTAGTGACTTTCCTTTATACTGGATGCCCAGTAGGTGCTGGATAGGTTCTGGGATACAAAGATCAGTAGATATGACCCCCACCCTTGAAGAAACCTACCCTCCAAAGAACCCTTTACAGTCTTCCTTAAAGACACTTCCAACATGCTGTTTTCCATTTCAAGTTCTAAGAGTAAAAAACACAGAAAGAAGAAAGCAAGACCCCACAGACTACAAGCTATGAAATGTGGCAGACAAGTGAGGTAATGGGACACTGTTCACTCTTCTGAATTAGCAGGCAGGCATGCAAAGATCTGAGACATTTAAGGAACTCCAAGCAGTGGTACCTTCAGAAGTAACATTTTAACATTTGTTCAAGTCTGAAAGGCAAAAGGGCACACAAGCTAAATTCCCATCACCTAATTTTTGAAATGTGTTCTTTTGAAGCATTACAACAAGAATGTGAAGACATCTTAACGACTGAGCTACCCGGGTGCCCCAAGACATCTAAGAGAAAATTCTAACCAATCCCACAAGTTCACGTAGGCTCTCCTGGGATATTTTAAAAATGACAGGTAACGAAAATGAAGAGTCATTCAATGTCTACCCTTACAATGGCTCCTATTTACTGGAGTTTACAAGGACTCTGAAACTTTCTACACAGTATGTCATTTAATCCTCGGGGTGACACTTCAAGACCAATATCGTCATTCCCAACTCTACAGATAAGGAAACAGAGGTATGGAGAAGTAACTAATTCTATGATATACAAGTAAGATGCAAGGAAGTCCTAAACTAGGTAATCTCGCTCCAAAACCCCCAAGATCTTACCCATATGCCTTACAGCCCTTCAGTCATGCCAAAGAGCAGGACGCACTAAATGCAGATTAAAATCCGTATGAAACTTGGATCCCCTGGCTGGCTCAGTGATAGAGCATGTGACTCTTGATCTCAAGGTCCTGAGTTCAAGCCCCACACTGGGTGTGGAGCCTACTTAAAAAATTAAAAAAAAAAAAAAAAGTAGTATGGAATTTAATCGAAATGTAAAAGGCAAGGCATACCCAGAGGAACTGCTCTGTAGGCCTGTCTCAATATGGCCCCTCGGGCCTGCTGTGAGAGTTAACTACCTATCACCCCAAAGGAAAGCAATAACTAAAGCTTGAGCTACCACAGAGCTTACTTTAAATGCATGGAACAATGGGCTGGTTTTATCCACAACTTGCATCTGAACAATATATACATTCCCATTAACATTCATCAGACCCCATGAAAGCAAGCCTAGTATACGCAGGCAGTAAAATGGAGGCCAGACCTTCTTCTACAGATTTCCATGAGCAGGATAATCACATCATAGCCCACGATTTATTGTGACATCTCCTTAGAACAAAAATAATCAGCAAAGCTGCATCCATTACTAGATAATGGTGATGACAAAGGCTCTTCCAATGGATACGTATTAGCGTTATCCCCACCTCAGGAAAGAAGAGGGAGGCTGAGAGGTTAAGCATTAGCTAGCGGACAGCCAGGGATCATACTATATAGCACTGACTTTGAAAACATCATCTTTACAACTTCTAACAGATCAAATCACTAGAACTTTACACGGAGAAAAAGGCCAACGTCTGACAACGTAATATTGAGTGAGGTTTTATCTGTCTTAATTATGCAAATGCAAGAACAGCAATAAACCATCAAGATAACTGGCAAGGGCAGAAGGAGAAGGACAGAAAGCAGCAGACACACTGGGTACCTCCCTTGACAGGGACTTTACACCTCCCGGGAAGCAACATAATTTGACACTGATGTAACCCAGTCTCATGACATGACTCAGTCCCAGCGTGATGACAGCTGCAAGTACCACCACAGACCTTCCTCCCATCCCTTCCAGAAACTGGACTTTGCTCCAGGCCCACTAGTACTTACCAGCCCTTGTGGGGACCACGCTACTGGTCAACTTCTAGTTGCTCAGCAACAAGCTTGGGTCTGAAAGAGGCCTCTTAGGTCCACCCTGAGAATGCCTGCTTGCAAGTAACAGCTGCACATGTCTATGTGTGACAGAAAAGCCAAATCGTCACGTTCAAAATAAACCTCTCAAACATTTCAGCGATCAGGTATACTCCAAAACACTGAGACCCAATATTACACACATACACCAGGCAAAAGACTGCTTTGTCCTGAAGCTACCATTTAAGAGCCATAAGATGAACCGGCAAATTAATGGAGTACTTTCAAAGTTTTCCTAGAAACTCAGACCCTCCCTGCTTAGTCCTCACTGGAGGACTGTGGAGGAACTCTCCCCAAATACAGTTCTGGAGCAATCAGAAAGATAGGATACTGGAGCTAGCCTGGGCAATTCTAAAGGATTTTCAAGGGAGCCCCAACTCTTCAGGATAACATCTCAGATTAGCAATCAGTGACAAACTGCCCTCCTCCTCCACTGCAAAAGAAGTGAATTTTCAAGGCAGTTTCTCAAAATTCTAGTCTTGTAAAAAGAAAAAAATATTTCAACTTAAAACACATTCTACAAATATACTCAACAATGTAACGAATGCTTGCGAAGATGCAGAGGAAGGGAAGTCACTCACATATAAACCACCCAAATATTTCTGATGGAACACTTGTTTGCAGATGTCAGCCAAGGTAAGAGTTCAATCAGCCTTAGCAGACAAGCCTCATTCCCCACAGGTCTCCTTCCTTGGTTTTAAGCCAGTAAAACAAGCATTTCTTATTTATATGCAGAGTCTGCCTTAAAGGAGTAGACCATATAGAAGCTTCGCTTGTGAAACTATAGTCTACCTCAGGTTGTAAATCCTCGCTCTAACACCATTCCTGTCATTTCTCCACAAAGCCAGAGACATGCGTTCCTCAGGACCTGTCATAAAATTCTAAGCAAGAATGACAGGGCAGTGTTTTAATGTGCCAAACAAGTCCAAATGAGAGAAGTACCAAATGAGGGAATTTAAAAAAAAAAAAAAAAAGTAACGTTTAAGTCCCTGTGGCAGTCTGGGTGCTGAATCACACAAAGAGGGGCAGGGGTGGGGGACAGACGAGGAGATTCAGCAACATGGAACCACTCTCCATGGCGTCATTCACAGAGTCCCTGAGCAGAGCGTGGTGTTCAACGATACAGTCTCCACGCTCAATGGGGCAGGAGGAAAATCCAACACAGAGCTGAAGGCGGCTTGCAGAGAATAAGGAGGGGAGGGGAAAGTGCCCCACTGTCATGGCAGCCAAGCCACAGCCCGGTCGGAGCAGGGGTCTCCTCGAGCTCCCCTCCTACCACACGCTCTACTGTCATTTCTAGGTCTCAACCCACTCACTGCAAGTGAGCAGAGTAAACCACATCTGCAAAAGACGTCCATTTCTTGTGGGCAAAACGCATCAGCATTACATTTCTTTAAATAGTATTCTTTATTAAAATAATGGTGCTTCCCAAGCATTTTACTTTAATCTTTTTCTTCTGTCACCATGACATCCACCTATTTTCTTCAGGCTCACAGTCTGTATATAAGTCTTAAAACACAAATTTACACACACACACACACACAAATGAAAATTGCAGTTTTAGGGGTGCCTGGGTTGCTCAATTGGTTAAGGGTCTGCCTTTGGCTCAGGTCATGATCCTGGAGTCCTAGGATTGAGTCCCATGTTGGGCCCCATGCTCAGCGGGGCAGGCTGAAATGGGGGGTCGTCCGCTTCTTCCTCTCCCACTCCCCCTCCATTTCTCGCTAATAAAATAAAATCTTTTTTAAAAAATTGCAAGTTTTAATATTGGAATATGAAGTAATATGAAAGTACCTTAGATTCTCAACATGTTTCTCTCAAGGAAACTGACGAGCTTCAATTATCCAACATTGTGGGAAATGAAAGTCCTTCTAAGGAGACTTGAGAGACCATGAGAAAAGTGCTGAACTACACATCTTAAAGCTCCCAGCACAATGGTAGAATTTAAAAGCAAAATCGTCACACCTGATGGGATGCCAGGGTCCGTTCAGGGATCTAGTCAGCAATCATTAAGAGGCTGTGGGGCTGGTGAGCAGGTTGAGGATACTGTGTCGCAACTAGGTTCCCAGTCTAATTCAAGAGCCCCAGACTAGTGCGCACAGATAACCAGACTGTTGCGGACAATGCCACCTCCACCTGCTCCTCCAGGAACGCGGAGGTCGGGATGGAATGGACTGGTCTAGGAGGGCTCCTGGAGAGACAGATCCGGAGCCCTAAAGGAAGTGTACTATTTGTTTTGGCTGAAGGATTTTATAGGGAACAGAGAAATGGCCCAGATAAAAAGATGGCATGTGTGGACAGGAAGGAAGACTGCGTTGCCAGCCCCTCGGCCCAAACAAGGATATGAAAATAATGGGACAGACCTGCAGCTGCCCTCTATTAATTCCTGAATTTAAGCAAAGTCAAGAATTCATATTGATTGCTAAGATCTCTTTTTTCCCCCCCTAACAATTGGCTCTTTATACTTTCATCTGGCCCAGGAAAGAAAAATCTTTTGTCTAGGGTGCCATAGGTACAGTGCTGCCTCCAAGTGAGAATAAACGATGACCTCTTGGGGCCCTTTCAAGACCTATGATTCATGTTTCATGGAAAATATTGAGAAATGTTCCATTAGAAATGAATCTGCTTTCACAGCATACTGTAGGTTTCCTGTGTTTTTCTTCCTTCATTATCACCAAAGACATTCTCATGAAAACAAAATCTTGTTTTTCCCCCCAGAGTAACCATATTCTTTATATTGATTTGCTCCGAATTTCCAAACTGCCTTTTCATGGCATCACAGTGAGCTTCTGCTGTCTTTTCAGTGACATCATGAATGTCCTATAGACAAATTCGACTACGAGTAAAGAGGGTTGACTTCAAGTAGTATAATTTCAAAGTTTCCAGGAAGGCCTGGCAATCAACTTGGTTCCCTACCCCAATCCCCGCCCTCCACCGCAGCAGCAATCCCTAACCTGCTGAAATATCAGTGCTGAAATAGCCAAGTTATTAAACCTCCAGTTTCAAATAGTGCTATAAGTGATGGTTATGACTTCAAAATTTCCAGAAAGGCCACTTCCAACCACCACTCCTACACACACACACACACACACACACACACACACACACACACACACAAAACCACCACCTCCCCGCCTGCTGGCTGGGGTTGAAAGAGCACAACTAGAGCTTCATTCTCCTCACTTTAATCTCCACTAGAACGCAAATGCTTCTTTCCCAAGTTCCCATTACAATATGATCCAATTTCAGATGGTTTCCTGATAGGTTTTTAAAAGGTAAGCAAGAAGACTGCCCCCCCCCTCGCATTACCAGTCCTCTCCCACTAGACGCTTCCTCTTAAGCAGCTGGAGTCGCAAGCCCCACCAAGAAGCTCAGCCCACCCCAACTCTGGGCCCGTTCCTAATTCAGGACAGAAATAACTTAAGGAATTCTAAATCAGTACTCCTGTGTCATACTGTGTTCTATTAGTTCTGGTAATAGTACATCTGTCTTATCCCGAAGACCCAGTCTCTGAAAACCATCTCTACTTGATCTTGGCTATCTGAGTACTAATCCTGGTATCCTGCTCAGAATCCTGTTATTCCAGGAACAGGAACCCACCTCGCTCCTGTCACATGCCCAAAGGGAATGGAGTCCTACTACAGGAGTTCCCGGATGTAAAGCCACAGAGCAAGACAATAAAGAGTTCATGTTCTCGAGTCAGACGTACCAGGGATAGAAACTCAACTCTGCCTCTTCTAACTATGGGAATTTAGGTGTATAAATTAACTTCCAGAGGCCTCAGCCTCATGTTTATCTATCATACTCATTAACAGAGAATATAACATAAGAGCTAAATCGGGGCAACAACAGGGATGTTAATGAAGTGAAAGAGTAATAACATTACAATTTGTGTTGGAATTTACAAATACATTGCCTATTGCCACATTCTATGATGATATTCTCCACCCACCTGGAGTGAAGCATTCACTAACTTACACAGGAACTCAAAAGAAGGCTTGGGGGCTGGGGGGAAGCCACCACTCAGTGACTGCCTATTATGCAATGGTGACAGTCAATGGGTCTGGACTCCAGGTTGCTTCCAGCTCCCGCAATTCATTCTGTTGTTCCAAGGCTTCCCAAGCCCTAGCAAACTAATTAGCTCCCTGTCCTGGTCCCTTGCACCCAATCCTGTCATTTCAATTAATTGGGCCAGGTACCACCACGCCCCAAATGGAGATAACCATAGTCTATGGGTGTTCAGAAGAGAACAAAGAATAGGAAGACTAAGGAAGCCCAAGATAAACAGCTCCCCAATTGTGCTTTAGTCAAAGGCATTTCTGAAATCACTGGATGGGGTGTTAATGTCACTTATCTCAAAGTATCATCATGAAAAAATACAAAGCTTCCATTGTGAATAGAGTGAAATATTTCCAACATTTCCTGGAGAATACACCAATTACTGACATGAACACACACACGCACACAAAGTGGGGGAGAGACTAACCTGATGAACACACGTGAGCACACGCACACACGCACCCATGCACGCGTAACAAAAGCAGGTGGCATAGAAGAGTGGATTTCATATATGTAGATCTACTCAGCAATCCATTGCTTTTATGGTTTCAATAGAAAGTATTACACACACTCAGTTGTAGAGGAACACAGTCCACCGGCCAGTTAATTCATGGGGCTCCCATGTTCCCATGATCAGAAGCTCAAATTCATTCTTACTGAATTGAAAATACCAGGTTTATTCTATGTAGGTGAAATGACTTTTTATCTAATTTTTCTAGCATGATCCTTTTTCGAAGTGGATTTTGAGGTTTTATTTGTTGATAATACCTCTTTATTACAGAACTACAAGTAGGTAAAAGATTTTATATCCCATACTATCTTAAAATATTTATTTCCTCCTTTCTTTTACCTTAAGTTTCTTTGTATGACTCATCACCAAAGACTAGATTCGGTTTTTAAATGGCTTAGAAAACCAAAGATCAATCTCAGGAACATAATGGTCAGAGAAATGCAAAAATCATTAGTAAAATGTAAAAAACATTAATAAAATGGTTAAGTCATTTTGGATTATCTATCTGCAATTAAAACTGGCTGGGCCTGAATCTTTGAAAACACTCTCATTTCTCCAGAAGTAGAAGTTTTTTTCCTAGTTTTTGTACCTACAGGAACAAAATTAAGTAACAAAACTACAAAGTGGCATGGTCTGCTATTAAAAAAGCAGTAGAAAAATCACCTTTTTTCATGCAGCTCATTACCAGAAACTAAAACTGAAGGGCATTTCACTTCATTCATTTCTGCATTGGTGAGCAAGTTCAGAAATTAAAGATGAGGGCTCTGATCAGATTCTTGGCCAATCACTAACCTAGTACTGAATTCCATTACATGCCAATTTGCTATTTGCCCTATAATCGCAATCACTGCCAAAAAGAGCTACTGCAAACACCGCCGCCCGACACAGCAGTGTTTTCAGACTAACTATGTATCTGGACTGAGCATCCTGTGGTTCATAGTATCTAAGCCATTTCTCTCCAAAGTGAACTACAATGAGGCGGCACTGGATTATACAAACAGGAAGTAACCGAAATGCCCTAGGAGCTACGCTTAAAGAATTACACCCAAGGAAGTGTCACCTACAGCTGGAACTTACTTAGAAGACAAGATTCTGGACTCTGAGCTGATGCTGTAATGGAGTTAAGACATTTAGAGAACTTCTGAGGGACTATTCCATATATGGAGGGCCATGAATTGTTAGGGACAGGGGATGGACCATGATGGGCAGCTTTTTAAGATGGCCCCCAATGATTTCGGCCTGCTGGTGTTCCCACACTGTGCAAATTCCCTTTCTCAAGTGGATTGGACCTGGTATCACCCCCCTGCCCTCTAGTTGCTACTCGGATGAAGCCAGCTGCCTCACAGAGAAGGCTTAGCAAGGAACTGAGGGAAGCCACCTGCCAATAGCCCACAAAAACCTAAACCCTACCAACAACCCCTCAAGCAAGCCTGGAAACAGACTGACTCTTAGACATACCTTCCAAGGATGGCCGCTCTAGCCCACACCTGGATTTCAGTATCTTGAGAGGCCCAGGGCTGTGGGACAGAGCTAAGCTGGACCTAAATTCCTGACCCACAAAAACTGAGATAATAATGTTGTTGTTTTAAGCCTCTAAATTTTGGAGCAATCTGTTAATCAGTAAAACAAGTAACAGATACTTACTACAGATCTTACCTCAAAAAACATCATCTCGTTGGCCTCACATTATGTATTTGAAAGTTTTAACTAATCTGAAAAAGTTATTGTTCTCAATTGACAATTTGAGGTCCTTCAAAATCTCAACATTTTCCAAATTCCATAATATATTAAAAAATACTGCAAGTCTTCCCAAGTTAAACTCACTCACTTAAAAGTCAACAGAACACTAGAGGTATTTACCTTTGCCCCTTTATTTATCATAGGCCTACATTAGCATCGAGACTCTATTTCACAGAAAGAGTAAAACGTTTTTAAAAATCCAAGATAAGTGATATGGAGACACAAAGAACAACTCTACTCCCTTAAAACAAGAAATAAAAGAGAAACTCCTCTCGTTAGAGGCTTACAAGAATTTCCTTACCTTGAATGCACTGAAGTGTTCCATCCTCTGCTCTTATTGTGAAAGTCTCACCTGGATTAACTTGAACCAGAATGACCTGCAAAATAACACATTAATTTCAATTTAACACTAGAGCATCTTGGGCTTCTCTTCCACAGTTTTATTACCTGAATTTATGCACTAGACAGGATGTGTGCGGCACAGAACCCTGTATCAACACAAAACTTAGGATGGGTCTTAGACCTGGTTCAGAGTTGAGGGGGGTCAGTATACCCACTTGAATATAGCTAAGTGAATTCTCCTGCATTGGTTATGATGTTACATACCTAAAAAGCTCAACTTTTTTTACTCTCACACAATTCCTTTTTTTCTTTCACTAATTTAGAAACGAGAAATCAAGAAGAAACGAGACCAGATACTATGCTTATAAGGGGAAAAAGGCACAGAGAAACGTGGCTCTGGGCAAACACTGCGGCACACATTCTTCCTAAGTGTCCATTACTGATTCGGGTTGTAGGAGTCCACTGTGTAACAAAAGGCAGCAATTTGTAAGAAAAATGTTCAGAAAATAAAGTATCTGTGTAAGTTCTGGAATTAGTAATACACACTATAAAATAAATGAATAATAATATTATAAATAGGTCTCAAACACTCAAATTTTTTAATCTGTTATCTAAATGTCAGTGAACATTAGTATTTATTTTAAAAAGTTTATTTACTTATTTGAGAGAGAGAGAGAGAGCGTGCGCACACCAGAGCACCCAAGAGTGGGAGAGTGGCAGAGGGAGAGACCCTTTAAGCAGACTCCCCTGCTGAAGCGAAGAGCTCCATGGGGGCTCAATCCCACAAGCCCTGAGATCACAACCTGAGCCAAAAACCAAGAGTCAGACACTCAACTGACTGAGCCACCCAGGCGCCCCTAATATTTAATCTAAGTAGGCAACTTTCAAGGCTAGACCATGCAGAGCCATGGCAAAGTATGTTCTTCCAAGAGCCTCAGTTTTAGATCTCATCTAGTTCTTCAGGTAACAACAGGGGAAAAAAAAAAAAATCACTGGATTTACATCTAAATACAAACCAAAGGACATAATCTAAGCTTAAAAACTGAGGTGAAATATCACACCATGGGCAAGGTTGACACTACGAAAATACTGACTGTCCATTTCTGGAAACTGGACAGAGGTCGGTGTCACATTCATCTCAGGGTTCTCCGAGCAAGCCTTGTCCCTCCCTGCGTCGAAACCATCAGGCGTACCGTTCCCTGTCCTTCTTCATCTCTGCCTGCCACCCACCTTACTCCTTCCCTGACGAGTGACTCATGCCTATTCATTCCTGTCAGCCTAAGAAGTGGAATCAGCTTTTCAGGACAGGACAGGCCTCCCACCGTGTGTCGTAACACAGGTGTGTGCGCCCTTGCACACATCTGTACATCTGTACATCTCCTTCCTAGAACTGACAACTCCAGTGAGCTCCGCAATTATTCTAGGGTCTGTCTTTGCTTCTTTAATATTGACTCTGTAAAGACTTAAGGGCTCAAAACTGTACACGGCCTAGAATAAGCGCTTGATAACTATTTCTACTGAATGAATAATCAAAGTTGTAAAAACACAAGGAAAACCAGTGCAAACAATATTTTAACTTAGAAATTAAGCTTTCATAATATTCAATTTAAAAAGTCAAGTTTTTTTTAAAAAGTCAACTTTATTTACTGCATGTACCTAAATTTCTGTTCCGTAAAAATGTTTTGAGATCAGAGCCGTTTCATCTTTAAAATCTAAACCTTTAATATCCATGTATTTTGTTTCTTCTAATAATTCACCACAGGAGACACTGTTAGGATATTAAAATTATTTAAATCAGGAAATGCATTAACTGGAGAAAACAAGATCATTCAGGAAAAAGCAGTCCCAGCTTCTCCCTGGTGCTTCTCATTACCTTGAATTATAACGGTGGTTTCAAGGCAATTTATTTTTCCTGTACAGTAACTGTGTCAATAATCTTTCAGTCTTAAGTATTCAAATTATCACCAATGTAAACACACTGTGCCATTTTAAGAACTCAAAAGGAAATCCCTTCAGATCTCTATAGAGTGATTAAAACATTTCAATTGCTTTCTTGAAACTGAGCTTTTAAAGGCATTCCTAACATGAAAATAGTTTCAATTTAACTTTATTCATACATAAACATAGAACATAACTCAATTATAACAGAATTTTAAAAAACACTCCAATAAAGAAAATTATCCGTGTCTTTTTAAAAGTCCTTAGACCAATTCCAACATTACTGTAATAGAGCAGAAATCAGTTCTTGTGTTGAAACCTCTAGGGGTAAGACGTATAATACAGGCCTGTAGAATTAATTAGTTAGGAAAAATAAAAATCAAAGGACACCATGACTATGCCCCAGATACTCTCTGACAATCCCAAATTCATATACTCTGTCCTCCACCGCTCTCATAATTGTCAGACAATGTGTCCTGAATGGAGGTCCTGAAAGTACAATTCACCAGTATTATGGAAAGTCCCAAGCAAGAAAAGGGATTTCTGAACTGGGGTACACTCCACATTCCGTCACATTACCTGCTCCTCACATGACATGAAAAGTGTCTGTAACGGTTCCTTAGCAGTCCCTGACACCAGGCCACCATTCAAAGCCTCCAAAAGCCATTTATGATAACCTCTCTCTGCTTACAGAGGCCGATTCCTGACCCCCACCCTGCTTCTTCAGGGGGAAAGGGGATAGGTAAAGAGCTTTTATGCATCCTACTAAAATACCTCCCTTCGAATGTTTCGTTCCTGTAATTTTCCCTGCTGCTGGGTTGCTATGGCAACCAGATTATAATCTTCCAAGTTACCTCAGAAACCAGGCAAATCTCCTGCGTCCCAATATCAATATTTCTTAGTAAGAGCAAAAGTCATTATTTGAGCAACCCGCATTCATCCTGGCACCAAATCATTTTAAAAGAAAGCATTTTATTATACTGAGGTCCACTGACCACCTTGTTGTTTTCACTGTCAATAAAGGAGAGATAAAAAATAAAGTTTCGACACACACCAGTCCAGGGATCTCATCCCTGACAACAGACATGAATGAGAGGGCAGAAGTGAGCCTTCCATCACCCAGCCCTGAGGCACATGAGTCACGCCCTGGCAGGCTCCCTGCCCCTTAACCTTTCCTATGACAGCAGCCTGCCCCTCTCTCTCTCTTGACCTCTCTGCCCCTACTCTGTCTCCCTCCCTCCTTTCTCTCTCTGGCCACAAGGCAGACATAACTGTTACAAGTTCTCACAAATGCAGAATGTAAAACATCCTATCACTGTCCAAACCTCATCATTTTTTTGTCCACTCACTAAGCATTTCCTGCATTTCCAAAGTCAGTATTAAAACAATTCAAGCCGCATTCTGTATCTCGTCAGAGGAAAAAAGATTTTAACTCCTGATAGATTCTTCTCCTCCAGAGATGCTAAAATAGAATCGTGTTAATCAAATCATAAAAGCGTACTTCAGGCTACACTTGCTTCATCAGGTCAGTTTCACATCTGTTCCAGCTACAGGAACCAAGTAGCCCAAAATAATCAGAGGCAAGTTTGTCAAAAATTAATGACAAGTAAGTACCCATTCTTCCAAAATCTTAATAAAACAAGTAATAGAACTGATATCATTTAACTAAAAGCTTAAACAGCATCGTGAGAAAGCGCCGCCCAACAAGACTACCAAAACAGGCATCAATAGATCTTTCCTTTAAGGTATAAATCCAACACGGTTTCGTACCCAGTAGAGGAGGAAAAGGAAAGCTACTACTTCAATTTAAATTGTGGGTGGCTGATTAACCAGATCAATGATATGGAAGATCATTCCTGGAGGCAAATTCCTACTTTACACCTCAAAAAAATTCCCAGCCCCCTGACCAAACCAGCCACTGCCTATCACAGAAGCTACTGCTAGAGGACAGTACTGACCGACCAAAGATAGAATGTTACATTTGCAGTTTTCCTGTAAGTTAAATCCAATAGCCAGACACTCAAGATACAAACCGTGCCAGGAGAGGGGACCCTGTTCCATTCCGGAAGCTTCTTCCACTTGCCACACTCTGTGAGGCTTGTCTTACTCTGAACTGTGTTATGTATAAATGGATACCTCTCACCTGTAGTCAGCATGTATGATTATCCAACAGGTATCTTTAGGGGGGGAAAAATGAACCTAAAAGCTGCAGAAGAGTTCCACCTAAGGAAGGATTCTGTCAATAGGTAGTAACTTCTCTTTGAAGATTTTATTTATTTATTTGAGAGAGACTGAGAGAGAGAGAGAGAGAGAGAGCAAGCACGGGGCGGGGGGGGCGGGAGCAGAGGGAGACGGAGAGGGAGAAGCAGGCTCCCCTATAAACCTGACTCGGGCTTAATCCCACGATGCTGGGATCATGACCTAGAGCCAAAGGAAGACGCTTAATGACTGAGCCACCCAGGTGCCCCAAGAATATCTAATAACTCTTAAAAAGGGACTTATGATTATATGAGAGGAATAAGTGTACTTTTTTTCTGGATACACACACACACACACACACACACACACACACACACACACGCACACACTCCAGATTCCCAAACTCCACAGAAATCCTGCCTAGCTCCACCCAGGCTCTAGAAGGCCCAAACCATCCATCAATATACAACTTTGAGAACTGATTATGAGAAGAATAACTGCACTTTTTTTCTGGATATGCACGCGTGCACACACACACACACACACACACACACATATGCACACACTCCAGATTCCCAAACTCCACAGAAATCCTGACTAGCTCCACCCAGGCCCTGGAAGGCCCAAACTATCCATCACTACACAACTTTGAGAACCTGGTGCCTGGACTAGAGACCAGAGCTGGTCTCCAACAAACTGAAAAGTGAGCATCGTATGTTTTCTGAGTCCCCTCCCTTTGCTCCAAATCAGGAAAAGGGAGAAGATGGGCTGCAAATAACCAATAATTATCTGGTGGTGATAATACACCAAGATTAAAATATGACAGGTAAAATAGAAAGGTACTAGAAGATGATGAGAAAGTACTGATTGTCTTATCCGCTCACCTGTCCTACCTGAA